TATTTTGCGGTCAAAGATGTACATGGTCTTTAGTACCAACCGAAAATGTTACATATATGTGTGTATTGCTTAATTAATATTGTTTCAAGTGAATGAGATGTAGTCGTTTAACAATTATGAATAAAGCCAGTTTAAATTACTCGTAGTATACATAGAGAAGGATGGCTGTTAAAATGAAACTTATTAAAAAATAATTAAATGAAGTAAGTTTAGAATCTTATTAATACAAGTATTATGATAGAAACATCTAATAAGTGGCTATGATTCTAATAAATAATATGAATATATATATATATATCCCTGAAAAATAATGTAAGTGAAATAAATATTAGGATTCTCGTAGATTATAACTATGAGGTAAAGAATAATGTCCATATTTTTATTTAAAAAATTGGTAGATAGGAAACATATTTTAATAGCTCAAAATTATGGATAATTAGCTCCCCAAAACAAATAAAAAAATGGACATGGTGTTCTTTATCTGTGGGGTGCAGACATCTGTTAATGCATGTTTGGTCAAAATGTCGTACTACATAAAATTTGATAGTGAAGATCACTTTATATATTAAATAATAAATTGAGTTTAACAAAGAATAGGATAACAAAGAACAGTGTTGAAATTTATTTTTTGATCAGAAACGGAATGTATTTTATTGATAGATGATATAATTTAATGTTCAAAGGTATTAAAAGTACATATACAAATGTAGGTCACACTTTCTAACCTACACTTTCTAGACAAAAAAGTAAAACAGCTATTTCATCTACTTTAAATGTTATAATTTACTTAATGAACTGTATACATGGAAATTTTTCATGCTATTTATTGTTTTTTTAAAAAAGTAAATCATAATAAATCACTCACAGTGGCTTTAGATCGATTTGGAAACGGCTTTTATTTTCTTAAGGCTTATAGCAACTTTAGTAATTTATCAATGCTAAGCAAAACTTTTTAAAAATCGTAGTAGCTACCTGGGGATGGATTTCCCATTATTTACGCTGTCTTCTTAAAGAACCAAAATAAGTTAGAAACATAAGACATCGTTACCTCATGAAACATCTTTTCCCATTTTGTCTTCATTTTCGTTTTCTTTGGATTGATTTTTTACCAAAAGAGACAGGCTAACGAAACATGAGTTATTTGTCTCTTTATTACTATTACAGCAAAAGTAAGCCTATTTATTGAAAAAAATATAATAGAAAATTAATTTTCAAATCTACAAAACGTTAGTTGAAAATGGTACCAACTAGTAGTTAAAAGAAAAATTGGCAAAAAACTGAACAAAGGAAAATTGTATAGATAATATCATTGATTTAATAATTCATAGAAAGATAAAAGTTAAATTATATAATAAAAGAATATAGACAAAAGGTTTGAAGAAAAGATTTCTAAAGATTTATTCAAAGATTTCTAAAAACTTGAAGAAAACCTACACACAGAGAACTTGATATTTCCGTTTATGGAAACACATAAAAAACTAAAAAACATCAAAGTTTATGTGTAATTATATATATATATATATATATATATATATATATATATATATATATATATATATATATATTGTTATGTATTGTAAGGACCACATGTGGAATATATTTAATTATTTCAAATGAAGAAATATATTCTAAAGAATAATTGTGGATACATATCCGGTTACCTTAGGGAGAGTGGTTACCTCTCATAAAGTGGTCCGGTTACCTGAAACCCCCTAGGGAATGCAACCTTTTGTGAAGCGCAATAAAACAGGACAGAGGTCTGCAAAAACACGAAAGGACCGACACCGGTCTTACGTGGGCATGTTTGGAGAGGATCAGAAGGCTTGTCTAAGTAAGGGAAGCAACAGAAACACCTTCGAGAAAGAGAAAACAGCCGTACGGCCTGGAGGCGTGGTCATCCCTTATGCTACAAATATTCAACCAATGAGAACCATTCTTGCCCCACGCTGAATATTTCGATAAAATCTACTGAGATGCATAGAGGAGAGGTCGAATGACGATGCCTCACTTGGAGGAGGGGCCTGATGTTAATGTCCGGCCATGAGGATAGGTCTTCTGTTTTCTTCCGGCTTGTCTAACTGTTTTTCGTTTCAGACATCAAGGATCAAATTTGGTTCAGAGTCTGACTGTAGTCAAATCGATGTAACGGGCATATCACCTATTACCTTTATTGGGTCTTCATGAAATTTTTAAGGATTTTGGGGGATGACTTCCCATATCAATCAACTTCATCAAATTACATCCAACAGCTCCGCTTGTGGACGCGCAAATGTACACCTTAGCCAATGTTTCAGTAGCGGTTCGTTCAATTTCAGTTAGAGTTGAAGGAAAGATAGGTATTGGTAACAAAATGTTGCTTTGCATTGCATTCCGTCAACTGCTTTCTGTTAAATAAACCCGAAGTATTTTCTATGATTCTTCTTAGGCACGTTCGATTTGGCCCCAAGCTGGAGGGGACTTAGGCATTCCCTAATCTATGTATTCAGGTTTTTTTAATTCCAATATCTTTTATGTATTATTATAACAAATTTACAAGTTCCTATGCAGTAAAAATCAGTCCTGTGTTAAATTTGATCATTCATAAAATTCGTTCTGTATTTTATTAAATTCTCTCCTGATTAAATAGTTTTTGAAATTTGGATAAAACTTTCTGCTAAACAATTAAGGAGGTAGGCAGTCAGTATTAGTGAATAAATTAAATTGATTCCTATAGATTGACGGATTGAAATCTATAGTTGATGTATCTGATTGAATCTGTTGACCAGAATGGAAACTTGAAAGGCCAATTGGAACAGATTTCCGATCTGATATTAAGTGACGAATGGGCTGGTTTCCTGCTCGATGTTTTTAAAAATACACCTTCAAGATGATAAAATGGTTATTATTGTAGAATTGAAAACTCATTGATCTTGTATTGTTTGTTATATATTGTTTCCAAAAATATCAGACTTTTGCACTTTAGACTTAAGAGGGTATTGGTGTAAATTTTAAATACGTTTCGTATACATCATTAATTTTTTTTTTTTTTTTTTTTACTAAAGTGTGCCTGTATATATATATTATTTTTTGTATATATATTACTTTTCTGTATAATTTATTTTATTTACTGTACATAGAGTGTCAATGTGATCTGTGAACACTATTATAAATGTCCTTGAGACAGATTGTAATATTTTTCAATAAATAAGATAAAAAAAAAAAAAAGTGTGCCAATGTAGAATGAATTTCTTAAGAAACCACGTCTATGTTTTAAAATTTTATTTTCGCGTTTTTTTGTATTAAATATAATGGTACTTCTTTCTTTCTTTTTGCAACAAAAAAACAAAACAAAAACAACGAAGCATTAGCCTCGATGGTTAATTTAAAATCCAAAATTCAGAAACTATAAAATGTTAAAAAAAATATAGCAGTATGAAATTTAGCAAATACATTGATTTTAATATTTTATGTAATTCCATCAAGTAAACATTAATGAATCAATTAAATTTAATATTTTTGTCAACGAAAAATAGGTACGTATATACGACCTTATATGTTTGTTTTCTTTCTATGGTAAACCCAACAAAGGGTTCTGTATTTATATGTTTTAGAAATTCCATGGAATTAAGCATCTATAACATGTACTGTATAAAATCTTTTTACAATCAGTGTTGAGATTTGTGAGGCATAAAAATAATATATACTGAAGTAAAGATAAAAAAAAGATATTATAGAGTGAAAAAAGGCACTTTGTATTTGTGCAAAGTTCATCCTTTAATTCAATACTAGTGTCCGCTAAGATGATGGAATTGTACCATAATCAATAATGATCATTTGATGAAAAAATAAATGAATTGCATGTTTCAAATTTTTTTTTTATTGGTGTATTATATTCGTTTATATTGTATATATTCGTACATTCACTGTTGTATTTACATACAAAAGTAAACAGTGCAGTAATGTTTATGTGTTTTTGAGACATGGGCAAATGATAATGAAAATCAATCCTAACTTTTTTTAAAACATATTTTCTCACTCGATGAAAATGTAGGAAAAAAAGTTTTATTTTTCAATTACTATGAAAATTCGTATTTGAGTTTTTTTTTTTTCCACGAAAGAACAATCTCAATTTAATTTCTACTTAAAAAAATATCGGACACCACATTGCACTTTCGGTCGGTACAAACTGTTACATTTCGAATATCACTCTAATCGATTTCGGTGATTTTTTTTTTTCATTTTGTAGTAAATGCATTTCGGAGATTAACGGTTTTGAACAAACTATACATTTTAATATATATACACTGCTTCATTTTTTTTTTTTTTTTTTTTTTATGATAATAATAAAGCACTTCAATAGTTACTAAAAAAAAGAAATTGTCCGGAAAAAGAAGAGGAAACGGGACTGAACTGTTTTTCCTTTGCCTTTTTATGTAATGATTACATCTATTCCGTTATGCAGACCCAATTTTATCAAATTATTAACATACACCTGAAATTTCTTGGATAGCCCCGTTTCATCGTAATCTACAACTGTTTTATTTACGAAAACTTTTGGATTTAGGTCGTCTATGAGTATACCTAATTAGATACACAGAACTCATACGTACTCATTTGCTTTCCATTTTGATTGCAAGACATTTTGACCACAAAATTAATAAACAAAGGCGGCCTAAATAAGTATTGGGCCGTTTGACATTTTTTGATTGTAGATTACGCCAAAAGGATCATTATTTTTGAAGGCCACCTTTGTTCTCGAGTATGTGCTCAAATTATCTTACGAACCAAGTGGAAAGAAAATGGGTATAACGAGCATTTTGTACCTTATTAAATAAACAAAGTTTGATGATTTTCGGATTGAAAACGTTGGGATGAAGCTATGTACGACATTTCAGGTGGATGTTATAATTTCATAGGAATGGGTCAGTACCACGGACTAATGGTTTTATATTCATATTTTGGAGTGATGAGAATATTACGATATTTTAAAAAGATATATAAATGGATGTTTCCCAACTTACCTACGACATTAACATGGACCGAGTACACGATGGGCGGGTGGGAGTTGACCTGGCACTCGTAGTGCCCCCGGTCGGTGAAGTTGACGGACTGGACGTGGAGCTGCCAATCCGCAGGCTTGGTGAAGCTGATCCTGTAGCGAGGGTCCGGGCTGTAGATCTCGGTATTCACCGAGATCAGCTGCAGGCTGTCACCCATTTTTCTCATCCAGGACACCTGAAACAACAAGATGGAAACAATCTCGTGATATGAAGAGAATATTATATATATTGCGATAAACGAGAGAACATTATCAGTCATGATGCAGATATTTTCGGAAATATCAGATAGGTAAATATTTTTCAAGGCAGGTATATAATAAATCAAAAATTTTACAATTAATGAATGTTTCGGCCTCAATGCTTGACTTCCCTCAATTTAGTAGATTGTATTAATTACCAATAAACTCAATAAAAAAAATTCTAAATAAGTCTTTTTTTTCTTTTTATTTATTTGAGTTCAAAAGTGAGAAGAAATATCGGCGGGACTGATTCCCATGGGCCACGGCTTGTGATGAAGAAAAAGCTTCGTTCGTGAGTGATTCGTTAATGTCTAAATATCATATGTTTAGTCATTAATAGTAATAGGAGGAGCTAAAATTCCTTACATGCAAGAAATGTTGTCCAAAATCGGTGCACTTCTTGCACTTTGCGATATCAAGACTAATAACACCTTATTGTTGCAAGACCAATACCAAGACTGGCAAAAAAAAAAAAAAGATTGTTTTTGTGAATAAAAATTAAGGCAAAATAGTTACTAATACCGTTACTATATGACAGTTACTATATGTAACGAATTAGTATTACCGTTATACTTTTGCATTTGAATCTTCCAATTTCTCATTCGGGGTTAATTAGGTTTCCTCATTCTGAAGAATTACAGCAATATCTCTATAGTAGTAAGCTAATAGGTAACTGAAAGACTCCTGCTCAAGACCAAGTCTGAGACTCGTCTTGGTCTTGCATTTGGGCCACACTACATCCAAGATATTGGAAGAACGAGTTATTCAAAACATAGAAGAATGATACGGTTCATTTAAATAAAGTACTATTCCGAGGAGAGAAAACAGACAATAGATGGAGAAAACTTCGTATAAACATTCCTCGAAAGTGTTTCAGAATTTTTTTTTTTTTTTTTTAATATTTACAACTGTATTAAGAAAAAATACATTCCGTAAATGTGATGGATAACAGAAAATAAAAACATAAAAACAGTTGTTGAGAAACTAACCACTGGTAGCACTAAAAAAAAAAATGTATTTACAATGGGATATATCGAGGACTTCTATTTTTCAGGCCCCTCGGAGGATTATCAGGGATCGAGGAGGATGCAAGTTTAAAAACGAGAGGGTTCGGTATAATAGGTATCTGGATTGAGCCAATTAGGAAACATAAGGAAGATTAAGGTCTTTATGGATGATTTCATTAGTGACAAAGTAAGGAGCATTGAGGATTTTACGAAAGATTTTGGATAGTAAGGATTAGATGCGTAAGGAATTCTATGGCTTTGTGGACCCCCAAATTTCAATTCCGTAAGTGCAAGGAGGTTTTATTATTGTCATATATATGAATCATTTGTAATTGATAGAAAGCTTCGAGCGTTTGTCTCGTTGATCGTTGATGGCATTGCTGGATAGTGGAATGGGATATGCGGAATCCAAATTGGTGATCTGGGATTATATTATTAGATTGTAGGGTAGAATTAGGTAATTAGGTTATGTCCAGGAGCTTTGCGTAAAAGTAATCTACGAATGATGTTGGATATTTCTGAAGGATGAAAGGCTTTAGGTGGAAGAGCCATTTGGAAAGGGATATCCAGTTCTGCTTCAAAACATTCAAGGTGATTTAGGTTATGAGAATATCGGGATGTGGGCTAAAGGTAAATATAGCAAATATTAGAGATTTTTCTTCGTCGGATTTGGGCCAGGTTTGGGCTTCGGTAAGAAGTTGATGATTACGGTTTTTAAATTTCAGTAGGCTTTTAGTGGTCGTCCATAGTGATTTGGCGGTAGGTGTAAGTTTTTGAGTACAATTTAGTAAATATTGAATTTTGTATTTTTTAATTTGTAATTTCAGTTTGTTAGTCAGTTGGGTGCAATGAGCTGTATCTGTCAGATACGTGGTTCTATATCACTTCGATCTTGCTCTGTTTTTTCTTCAATAAGATACGAATATGGTGTGGCAAGACTTTTGTGAATTGTCAATCTTACTAATGAATGTGTTATTATTTATACTGTTAGTTTTTCTATGGCTACATTAATGTCTTCTTTTGTCTTTAGCCGGATTTTTAGGTCAAGTTTGCTTTAAAAATCATCACAAAACTTGTCTCAGTTTACTCGACCTGTAATCAATTTAGGAGGTGATGGTTTAGGAGCAAAGTTTGAATGTAGTAAAAGCAGAAATGGACTATGATCTGAGGAAAGGTCATTCAGGGAGTTGATCATGGATTGGGAGGGGAACATCTGGGAGGTGATAAATATATCTAGGATATCGGGACGTTTTTTGGGGGATGTTGGCCAATAAGTAGGATTGATGGGCAAGAGGATTCAATAACTGTTGGCAGATGAGACACGTGAAAGGATATTAGGGGTTGGATTTTCAAAATTAAAATTAGAAACTATTTTGGGAGTGCCAGACATTATTATCTCCCCATTGATCTATACTTCGTCAGTTATAGTTAATTCGATGGTCGAACATCAAAAAGATACGTTACTCTCTATTGAAGCACAAAAATTGTTACTTGAAATGATGTAAAAACACACACAAAAAAAAAATGTAACGTGATATATACTTATGCTTCAAAAGTAAACGGTGAAGTAGGATGCGCTATTGTAAATACTCAAATACCAAAGTATTTCAAACTACCTGAGATCTGCTCTGTGTTTAGTGGAGAGATGATGACCTAAGAGAAGCCTTGATGTGCATTGAGACCACTGATAGTAACAATTGGACAATAATACTGGACTCAAAGAGTGCAATCCTAGCCAACGAAAATAAAAAAAACCGACAACCACACTGGCAAGAGCTATTAGAAATATTTGATGGAAACTAAATATAAAGGAAAAAAATACCGTTTTTCTGAGTTCCTTTACAACAGGCAGATAAAGCAGCGAAACGACAAGAAGGAGAGAGAGAAATCTGGCGGTAATAAATAACGAAATCCCCATAGAAGATTTTTGACAGCATATAAGGGAAAAGTTGAGGAGAATGTGGCAGACAAAATGACATCAAAAAGGAGCTAAATTAAAAGAAATAAAAAGCCACTGTACCAAATGGAAAACATGTAACGGACTACCTAGGAAAGAAGAGACAGTCCTCTGCCGATTGAGAATTGGGCACTGAGAATTCTCACATGCCTATTTGCTCAGATGACTGGACCCACCAACATACGAAAGTTGTAAGGTGCAAAGAACAGTTTAACGAATCACAATATTTAAAAATGTAAGAAAAAGTTGTATATGTTCCAGACCTAGAAGAAAATTTGACAGATAATGAGAACGTCGTGGAAAAAAACATTGAATTGTTTAAAAATTGAAAAATTCTATAACAGAATAAAAGCAAAATGTTTTGCAAATGTCCTACATGGTAGAGACTACAAAAACATAAATAAATAATTAATCGTATAATTTCATTGTTATAAAAAACCACCATTGTTATAAAAAAACACCATTTTTAGTTTCGTAAATTAATATTTTTAATTAGGTTCACAAAGGGATTTTGAGAAAATTGTGAAATATTTTCAGTACCTTTTTTTTTCAAGTAACACATATACTTATTAAACTGATTTCGTTAAATATATAAATATCATTCCATTATTATTGAATATACATAGACCACTTATAAAGGGAATAGAGTCGAATTCTGGAAGTTCAACTTTACTCGGAATTGGATTCTCAACTGGAAGTTATACCATCAAAGCGAAAGTTACTTATAGCCCTAATACTAAACACGTAAGAGCGAGAGCACCTATGTATAGAATGTTATATATGTTTGTGTTAAGCGAGATTGTGAAACGTTATTTGGTAATTTCCACTATTGCATTATATTTCAAGACAACAGAATATTAATGGAAATCTCAACAGTGAGATATATTAAATTCAGTAATTATATAACATAGCCGAATGGAATTTATTCAAATATTCAAAGCCTATATTTATTGAGATCTACAACTGTAGTAACTAAAAATATTATAAATAAATTTATATTAGTATATTGGCATGGAGAGACTATTATAGAAACTAGTGTTGCCCAAAATTGGTGCAATACCAACACCACGACCTCCTAACTGTTTCAATACCAAGGTAAAAAAATCAGTTTTTTAAATAAAAATTAAGGCTAAATAGTTACTAATACTTGACAATTTTAGTTACTATATGTAAAGAATTGGTATAACCAATATACTTTTGCATTTAACTCTTCTAATTTTTCATTCGGGCTTAGTTAGGTTTCTCCTATCTAAAAAATTACAGTAATATCTCTATAGTAATAAGCTAATATGTAACTGCAAGACTGTTGCGAGACACTAACTCAAGACCAAGACCAAGTGGAAGACGGAGTGCGCAAGACCAAGACTCTTCTTGGGCAACACTAACAGAAACTATTTATTGGTAGTATACTAATAATAATTTTACATTAGATCATCTAAAGGATAACTTCTTTTCGGACGCTTTGGAGGATTATAAGCAATCGAAAAGGATGCAAGATAAGAAGTAAGTGTGATTGGGCAGAATTTGGATTCTATCAGGGTTTGGATAACATTATGGATGATTTTATTTGTTACAGAATTAGGAGCGTATTCGACAGTTTTACTTTTTAACCCTTTACCCTTGGCAAACTGCAATAACCTACTATGGTCTATTGTTTGTGCTAATCATTTTTATTTATCTTTTCTATTGCAAAAATGGATATACTATAGTCTGACGACCTCACATGTGATGAGGATTTCCTCGATTTAATTTAATCTTTACTAACGGAGAAAATGTATTGGATGAATCATTTTCTGTATTAGTCTGATGACAAATTTTTTGATTGATTTAGATATTTTTTTTTTAACTAACACAAATTAATTTAACTTTGACTTTCGTTACACACACAAAAAAAAAAAAAAAAAACGACGTCGAGAATCTCAAACAACAAAGAACTGTAGAAAAATCTATTAATAACCTCCTACTTCCTTTT